GGGGGCCACGAGCCAAGACAAACGGGGGGGAGGGGTGTCAGATGGAGGCTTCAGCCAAAACAAGGCCCGTGGAAGTGACAGGGCCACACTGGGACCCAGGTGCTGCTGCAGGCAGGCTGGGGCCAGGGAAGGGACTCGCTCTCATTGCAAACAGAGCCAGGATGCACCCATGCCATTCCACAGCCAGGTTCAGGGGACACCCTGCAGCACCTGGGATAAAACAACACGTGGCACCAGGGGCAGGGTGGGATGCAGGGTGGCACCCAGGAGGCACTGAAGTGCCACTGCAAGCAGGGATGGGATAATGTGTGTGGCACTGGGAGCTGGCAACCTTGCCGCAACAGCATCGGGAAATTAAGCCACACAGCACCCGAGCCTAGTTACTTGCATTGCCACAGCATGAGCACTGCCACATGGTGCTCTGTGTCACACTTCCTCCCCCCCCCGGGGAAAAGCAGGCAGGGGGCCTGCGGTAGCACTAATACGAGGCTTTTCAATTTGCTTTCATTGTCAGCGACGGACAGGTAAGGTAGAATCTGGGTCATTGGGATGCTCTAGTGTCCATGTTAGTTTCTGTAGAATTTAAACTGCCATTTAAAACAAAAAAAACACAACACACATTTCCTGATCCTCATGGTTATGTGGACAACCATGCAAACTGTCCCATCCAGCTCCAAGGGACAGCAGCTTGGGTACTTACTGCTACGTCATGGAGCGAAGCCAATTTCATGCTGAGAGAGCAGCAAGAGGGCATGAAGGGACTCTCTCGAACCCTGACCTTGTGTGTGTAAATGTACACAGGAGTAGGGCCTTAGCTAGAACTCATCTAATGAAGTCAGCGTCTGATTTTTCCTCTCATAGTGGAGGCCATTCTGGGAGATGAGGTTACAGTTGACAGATAAACTGAACTAATAAGGGATCGTTACAGCATTTCAGTAGGTCAGAGCTCTTTCGGAAAAAGGGGAAGAGGGAGTTCTTTTGAAAGAAAAGGAAAAAGCCCAGGTGCCCTGGTGACCATTCCACCCATAGTAATCACAGCTTAAATCTTTCAAAAAAGCAGATCGCATTTTCAATGCACTTTGGCAGCATGGACGCTCTCTTTCAGAACAAAACAAGTTTTTTCAGAAGACCTCTTCTGGAAAAGCTTCTTCTGAAAGAAGCCTGTGGTCTAGCCATAGCCAGAGTCAACAGAAGAAGTGCTATACTAGCCACACACAGAAAGCAGGGCCTCGTAAGCATAGCAAAATTAAGGAGGTTGGAGATAAAGGTCAAACTGAAAGCAACATATCATTTAGTATTCAGTGAAGAACCTTCCCAATATTGCGATAGGCCTACATGGGCAGGTAGCCCTAAAGAGAACTGCACAGCTGAAATCTAACACCGAGACAAGAATTCCTATATCACTGCTCCATTATAAGATATGCTTTGGGCTTTTTACTTGCCTGCTTGATAATTTTTAAACACATATTCTAGCCCTGTAATTCACTTATGTTGGGTGGGATAATTTTGGCCATTGGCCATGCATTGCATTGATGCATGGACTGTATTGGAATGGTATACTGTGGCATGCTGTACCAACACATCTCTGGTGACCATATCAATTTTTGCAGATTTCAAGATTTTATTTAAAAATAAAATTCCTATTCTGGCCACAAAGATAATCTTCTGCCTGTGACCCATTGCAATGATATACCTGAGGCAGGAAGGAAGGACTAAGTGTTTGTCTTCATGGCCCCACAGTGCAAACTACCAGGGCACGGACTACAGAACACATTAAGCATTTCATAAGAATGGCCACACAGGTTAGGACAAAGGTTTACCTAACCCAGAACCCTGCCTTCCAACAACAGCCAATGCACTAACAGCCCCATCTAAATCCTGCTAGTGTAAGCAAAAAGGTATTTAAATTTGCACCTTCATTAACATGAACTAGGCCATGTAGACAAGTCCCAGACCCCACAGCACTGAGGCCCTGGAGTGATTTGCCCAGACCTGTGACCTTTCCCTCTCACCCCTTCCATCTCAATGCAGTATTAACTCTGAAGCCCAACAAAGAGTTAAACTAGCACAGAGTTAACACTTTCACTTCTCATCTTTCATGGCAGAAACACTCACCCTGGAGCTTTATTTAAGCGCCTTCCCATCTCTGTCAAGATGGAAGTTTCCCAAAAAAGCTTAGCTGATTAATGATACTTATCACTCAATGCATGTAGTTGTTTTTAAAATTAAACTCTGAGTATGATCCCCCAATAGAGTTTTTTCAGACACCCAGAAGCTGTTAGTAAGAAATTGTATTCCATGCATCAATCGAGACTGAATGTGTGTTGTGCTAGGCTCTGTACATAATACTCAGCTAGAGGGATGCAGCCTAGGGCTCGCACTTTGAACAGATGTGACAGAGGCTGGCACCTGTATTTCTAGAAGAAAGAAAAACATGTAACAAAACTTGTCTGGGCTTTCTAAAACACACACTCAGAAGAGGGGCCCAGGGTTATTTTTTCTCTGTGCAGATTATCTGTAGCTGCGGTCTAATTTGGTACATTTCAAATGATTAAATGTCCCATTTGGTACATTTTAAATGGTTAAACCAACTCTTAACCCAGCTTAAAATCAGAGTTTTTGAAATTCTGATGGCCACTAAAGGATCACTGATCCTTCACTCCTATCCTCTGTCTTGTCTAACTGAATTGCAAGCACTTCAGGGTAGGTACTGTCTCACTAATTGTACAGTGCTTACCACAATCTTGACAGGCAAGGCCTGCTTTCAAATCAATGAATAATAATAAGGTGTATCGGACTACGACACGGCAACTGCCTGTTTGCTAATTATATTTCAATTTCACTGTTTTCTCTTCTTCGTAATTAGAATCCTTTGTACATTACAGTGGAATGCTGCTGGACAGTAAAGGGAGAGGAACGGATTTGGCAATAAGCACAAGTCTGGCAGATCCTTCCACCTGCCCATTGTTCACTGCAGGACTGGGGTTTTAAATGTCACTTCGTGCCAGTGCAAACCCTGCTCAGTGCACATGTACTGGTCCTGGAAAGTGCTGGGAAAATACCCAGGTTGTACTGCTATCATCTCCGGTTTTTCCCTGGTCTCAAGCACCACTCTCCCTTCAGTCTCAGGCCCCGTGCTGAATTGTGCCTTGGAATCACAACACAGCTGCTGACATTCCTCTGGCAAAAAATGTGACATTCTTGTCCTGAATTTTATACTGGTAGATTCGGAGGAGGTTCCTCTCGGCTCTCAGCTTGGGTGACCCCTTCTGAATGATCTTTAACTGCAAAGGAAAGGGAACGAGAGTGAAAAGCTGCTTTCTTGCGGCTGCAATCACCGCCTCTTCCCTCCCAGCAAAAGGCTCGAGCAGGTGACATGGCCTATGTGTTAAAATACCTTTAGAGTCTGCAACTGGCCTGACTGAAGGATTCAACACTGCCATTTTGGAAAGCGATGTGCAGCCATTGTCACAGGCACTAAACCTCTCTCTCAGTGGCAGCCTTGTCAGAGAGGCCCGGACCCTCAAGAAGACTGAAGTGCTCTCTCCTTCCTAGACAGGATCCAGCCAGGTCATGGATGAGACCCACCGGACGAGAGTTTGGAGAAGCTTCTGCACATTCATAGCACCCCCATCACCTTAGTGTCAGGGCACAAGTTTGCATTAGCGCAGCCTGTGCTATATAAAGAATTTCCATCTCCAGGGCTGTCCAGCCCCTTTCCCCAACACTAGGTTCACAAAAACATGGACTTCACTTCATACTTCTGCCATTGATAAAATCCGCAGGCCAGATCCTAGCCCTGCTCCGGCTGCGTGGCACCACGTCACTGACTGAATCTCCAAGCAGCAGAAAGCTGGCGCAGTGTCTCTCATCCCTACTGGCAGCCCCCCAAGAGGTGTGGTTGAGGACAGGGAATGCAATTCCAGTGCCACTGTGTCCTAGCCCCCTTAGCTTCTGGGGGCAGCTGGGTATAAATGAACCCCAACGTTGCTCTGAAATATGGCGGGGCCCCATTAATACCTGCATCAAGAGCTACAAAGAACATAGCTCTGAGCTGCAAAGAACATAGCCTGGCTCCATCTAAAGTTGTAGCCAGGCATTAGTGGGGACTATAAGAAGTTGTCATGTCTGAGGACAGCAATGGACGCAGGGGAAATGCTCTCACAAGTGTTACCTGTCCATGAACATCTTTACAGAAGCCCGTAGCCAGTCCCTCTGCCCAAAGGATCAAGTTGCTCTGGTGACAGAGTGACTTCACGACCAGTTCATTCTCCTCATCTTCTGAATCATCACTGCTGTGCACTAGCACCACTACGTTCCCCTGCATCAGAAAGTGTCACACAGGGATTAGTGACTCTGTGACAATCAATTCTGGATTACGAGAGGAGATCAGAGCCCTGGGCTCACACAAACACATTGCTAACAAAGCTACTTAGCTTCAAGTTATCTGCCTCTATCTGGGTTCTGAATCAGAGCCGAGGGGGAGAAGAACCAAGCTTATATATAACTCTCCAGCCTAAAAATACATCAAGCTTTTGTTACAAAACAGCCAATGCTAGTTAAACTGATCTCTCGGGCCAAACAGGCATCTCAGCTGTGAGCTGTACCTTAAACGAACCATCTAACAGAACTAGCTGAAGGGCTGTTGCCAGCTGCATTATGTCCACATTTGCCTTTTGTGAAAGAAAAGAAAGACGTTTTAAAAAAATCCAAACTTAATTCCATTAAAAATATATCACAACTTGAGAGTCTTTGGCTCAGCCCATGGGGATAAGGTCACTGAAGATTTAAAGCCAAGTAAATACTGGCCCAAAATTAAAGTTTTCCAAAAGAAAAAAACCCTTTTACAGAAATAAAAATATTTCCGTTCAGTATTTATTTTTAAATTACTTTGGAAACCAAGATTCCAAACAAGCAGACGGATGTTCCCTTAGCACTATTTTCATCCCAAACACTGGAGCATTAGCTCCCAATATGGAAATCACAAGGTGCTACTGATTAGTCTATTGTTGTGATCCAAGGTAAAGGACATTGGGGAGAAGGGGAAAGCATGGCATAGGAAAAAGTGAGTGTGATATTTGATGACTCTTTCAGCATTAATGCTCTCAGGAGTTACTCGTATGCAGTGAAGGGGAACTTCTGAAGTTGATTATATTCACACACACTCAAACACCAGTACGCATGATGTGGGGTAACATTCCAGAACTGTGCAAGTGGTTGTTCCTTTGCCATCCCAATTGGAATTGACAGCAACATTTGACCATGCTCTGGTACTTGCTAGATTCATTAATAACTACTAAGCCCAGCTAAACCAAGGGATCAGTGATGGGTCTGAAATAATTAGAGCTAAAAATTAGGACTTATGAAAAGTCTCTAGATATCAGACTGCTAAAATCATCTTGTTCTGATTAATATCATGCTTTCTCCACCATTTGAATTTTGACGTGAACAAAAGAGCTATTTTCTCAAGACCCACTACCTCTGGCAGTCTTTTATCTCTTTAATAGCTAGTCTGAAAGTAGCGGAGCTACACAGAATTCCTCACTGGCTAATAGCTTGTGAGAGATTAGGTTTTGAAATTATATCTGAAGGGACCAGCACAGATACTGTCAGGACTAGTGAAAGAATGGCCCTGGATCAGCGATCCAAGGTCATGACACATTGTGAAAACACAGGGTTTTCCTTTCATGACACACTGGGGCTGTGTCTACATTGGCACCCCTTTCTGGAAAAGGGATGCTAATGAGACACTTCAGAATTGCAAATCCGCGGGGGATTTAAATATCCCCCGTGGCATTTGCTGGAACATGGCTGCCGCTTTTTTCCAGCTCGGGGTTTTGCCGGAGAAAAGCGCCGGTCTAGACATGATCTTGCGGAAAATAAGCCCTTTTCCGCAAGATCCCTTATTCCTACTTTCAAGGAAGATCACGTCTAGACTGGCGCTTTTCTCCAGCAAAACCCTGAGCTGGAAAAAAGCGGCAGCCATGTTCATGCAAATGCCGCGGGGGATATTTAAATCCCCCGCGGATTTGCAATTCCGAAGTGTCTCATTAGCATCCCTTTTCCGGAAAGGGGTGCCAATGTAGACACAGCCTGGCTGTGTATATAAAAGGAGATACATTTGGACTATGCTCCAACTGCCTTTTGGTTTGTAACTTCATTCCTAAATCACAGTTCCAGATTTCAAGCTTTTTATATTTTTCCCCAATTAAAGTAGAACAGTTAAATCCAGGGAATCTGACCCAGCTGTAACAGAACCAGCTTTCTCCTTAGTGGGCACAGGGTGCAATGGGGCCATTCAGCGACAACAAAGTTGACTTGTTTAAAAAGCAAAGGGTTTGAGTCTTTCCATTCCCCACCCTCCAGCCTCAAATTGTTCTCTTTCGCATCCTGCTCTCAGCTGGCCCTTTCACCTAGTCAATCTACTCTTTCAGAAGACCACTGCCCTTTAAAAACAAAAATCAGATATATAGAAGTTTTCCCCCTCCTCCCACCATTTTCCACTCTGGCCAGTGACAAAGTGGGGCTTCATTTATTTTAGGGTCGTGATAAAACACCAAGAAGCTTCAGCACAAGAGACTTCACTCCTATAATAAGAGATTGCCGAGTGAAGAGTGTAGAAACTTGTCCTTCCATCCCAGTAGCTCAAAGCACTTTACAGAAAAGGGTTAATCGTCACTTTAGTGACTACTGAAATGCAAACACCTCCGGGTGGGATAGATGGCAGCGGTTTAAGAGCACACAGGAACAGGACACAGCACTTTAGGAGAAGATATGAACACTATCACACGCCCTTTGCTTAAGTACAGGCAGTCCCCGGGTTACGTACAAGATAGGGACTGTAGGTTTGTTCTTAAGTTGAATCTGTATGTAAGTCGGAACTGGCGTCCAGATTCAGCCACTGCTGAAAATGACCGCCAGTTCTGACTTACATACAGATTCAACTTAAGAACCCCAAGTCAGCTGCTGCTGAAACTGATCAGCGGCTGATTCCAGGAAGCCTGGGGCAGAGCAACTGTACCTCAGGCTTCCTGTAGTCAGCGCTGGTCAGTTTCAGCAGCGGCTGACT